CACTGCCACGGAAAGAAACATCTGGAGTCGTCTACAGGATCTGGTGCAGTTGGGGGCAAAACAATTATGTTGGAGAAACTGACAGATTTCTCAAGACGCGAATTGCCAAACACGCGGCAGCAGTGTGGTGGAATGATGCCAATTCTTAAGTTGTGGCTCATTCGACGAGACCTGGCCACACATTCAAATTTTATGAGCCCAAAATTTTCGCAAGAGGTGAAAATCGGGTGAGCCGAGAATTGCTTGAGTCATGGTTCGTAGGCCACCATTCCATCAACTAGTGTAACAATTTGTCCAATTCATATTCGGTGCTTAGACTCCGTTTGGCCAAAGCAAGTCGCCGTTTGGGGTACGGACAGGCTTCATCAAACAGTTTTCGATTTTTTTGCACAAGTTTAACTTTTAACTGTCTTGTACGGCAAAACTCCTGTGCACACACTACCTGTATCTGCTACTGCGCTGTGATTATGCCCCTGATGATGAATCCACGACGGATATCGAAACGTCAAGCGAATAAAAGTATCGTCCCAGCGATCGAGTCGTCTTCTCCTCGGTTATTTCAGTGATGTTACGGTTGCATTAGGCCCCTTGGAATGCCCAAGGTGTTACACGACAAATTGGAAGCCACCCGGAGGAGTGTTTATTGGATACAAATCCCGGAGTTGCTTTTTCGGTTGGCTGTCGCAGCTGGCGTAAAGCCAGCCTTGGCTGTATGTTCCGCTTCGGGGCGAAGCCCGGCAATGAGACGAACTAGCAGTGTCGTCCACAGTCCATGCTGCAACTCATTGTCTGAAAAGTGACAGTAACTGATAAGTAATTGTCAAGCGCGTTCGTTTGTGGCATGTTTGGGCGCGTCGAAATAAGGTCACCTACTGCGCAAGGTAGCCAAGTGGTTCTTGAGGAACTGTGACAAGTTGAGCACGCGCGTGGCCTCACGTGCGTGTGCGGTCCGGTCCGGCGATTAAGGGTCATCTCGTGGGCGGCAGTCATAGCGAAGGCGTATAACCTCGAGGCAGTCCGCTGTTCACAAAGGCATCATTCTGACAGGCGGCCACCGGCACGACGTCAACTGGTTGGTGACCGCCACTCCATCATAACACTCCCGATCAAAATAGACAAGACAACGAGCCCGTAACTCATTGATAAAGCGTTAGCCTCACTAACTAATGATCTTGGGTTCTAAGCCCAAGTGCTCCACAATTAAGAGTTAGGAAGACTGGCTGATAATGATAGATAGGCCAGAAATTGTCATTTTGGTCCCTCTTTTATCTTGTCCGTACTTTATTACTAAAGGGGAGGTAGCGCGTAGGCTCGTTTGCCAGACTAGAGAGGTCCTCCTTCTCTTGTTTCTAGTTTGTTAAATTAAAATCGTGGGGCGAGTTTATGCAGATGGCTTCTCTTGCGTTTAACACAAGATAGAGCGAGCAGTGTAACCAAAGGCCAGGATAGGTTTACACATACTTTTTTCGTACAAGAAGTCGAATTAACGCCCGTTAGGTCCAGGTCCGAATAATTGTGTTGACGCATGCATGTGATAAGTTAAAAGGCACACAGGCTTAACACCTAACACTCCCCACGTCCTCTGCTCCCCGCTTTATTGCATGATTTGCGACCTTTTTTGGAATTTCTGCACGCCTCTCGGCCGCTCCCATTAGGATTTCCAATGTTTAGTGAGAATGGAGGCCATTTAGGCACAAGGGAACCGAGAATGCATGCAACCCAGCATGCTCCATGTGCACTCGAGTTAATGGAGGACGCTGATGTAGTGGCGGTAGGATACATATGGGGCGAAAAAGCGACCATTTTTGCGAACTCTGTTTTATCAATTTCGAGGGCCCCATGCCGTGGGCCTTCAAAAATTTTCTGATACTTAAGAAAACAGAGAAATGGTGCAACTAGATGGCATATAACCCTGTTTTTATATGAGCTAAGAAGGAGACTGTGCGATCGCAACAATGATGATTGGTTTACACAAAACACCTGAAACAGGCCCGTTGCCCGTGGCCGGTCGCATACCATCAAATAGTCGGCAATACGAAAAAACTGCTGACAATATGAAGGGAAACACGCGAATGGAAATGAAGATGCAAGCCCCAGGTTCATGTTGCAACAAAGTCTAAGGCGAGATCCCTCGGACAGCAAGTGCATTAGTCTAAGCTTTCGGTGCCGGAGGAGAAGCCGTCATCAGAGAAAATGCGAGTACAGCGAGAATTGGCATGTTTCGTGGTCGACCTACGAGCAAATGGGGGGGGAGCATTCGTGATTGGTTGAGTCCGCGCTCAGGTCATCTCCTCGTCTCCTCTGAGCGTGCGTCCTTGACGA